GACCTTCATCACCACCCCAAGTTCTCAGCCTCAGAGTCACATAGTGGCACTAACTTCGGATCGCAATGCCCCTTCTTCTGCCTCCCAAAGCAACAGTCTCTCCTTAAGCCTACCTGAGCCTGAGCCGGAGCCCCACGGCAAAAACGAAGTGTCGGCTGAATTCTTTTGTTTCTTTTCTTGCCTCGTCTGTGCTTTCAGTAGAAATGCCTCTGAAAGGACAGGTCGGCCCATGCACCGTTTTTCCTTCGCTGGGCTTGGTCTGTCTATCCAAAAACTGGCTGTATGGGCTCCATTCTTCGTCCAATCGCACCAAAATAGACTCCTCTTCTGTGAGCCCTCGCCGACGATGTTTCGCCTTGTTTGACTAGACAAGCGGATGGCAAGAAGATACAGGGTCGGCAGCAAAAAGCATGTGACATGCTAAAAAGCAAGGCACTAATCTTAGCGCCTTACCATGCTGATGCAGGGCGATCATTGCGAATGCAAAACAACTAAAGACCTTTAATTGAGAATTATTGAGAGCTGTTCGGAGTAGACTTCTTCCTCCAGCAGTAAAAAAATTGTCCGTGCTGATGTCTCTCCATGCAACGCAAAAGTCCTCTACTCCCCACGATTTCATCCTCTAATGGCGAATCTAAAGAAGGGGGTGAAACCAAGACTACAGCCTCAGCTATAGCCAAATGCCAGCGGTGATGCAATAGTGCAGCAGAGTAGCAAGTGCGAGAAGAAGAAAGAACACATGCTACTTGTGATCGTCTAGGACCCGTGTCAGTGCAATCTTGGTCCTGTCGCTGATTTGGGTGGAGTTGAGGAGTGGCAATCTTGACCAGGCAGTCGTTTTCGGTCAGACTGATAGAGCAACAAAGGCATCATGCTGAGGATTCTCAGCTGTCCAACTGGCACGTACAGTCAAAAGAGTACATCTATTGTACACCCTGAGCATGGACCCACAGACTGTTGCAGGGCCATAGTCAGATTGAAACGGGCTGAGCCACCACAGCCCCAGCACCTGTTTTGCATTAGCCATGGGAGTTTGACTTCAGGAAAACAAATATCTCAAGAAGGACGAGCCAAAAAGCAACTGATAGTAATTGGTCAACATCACAAGATATTGGAACCATCACAATTTGACTTGTCAAGTCGGGCGAACAAGATCAGACACGTGTGCTCCAGCGTGTGTCCAGCCTCAGTTCGAATTCTACTTTTCAGAGTGTGACGGCTGTGGCAAGAAACCCTGTTTGCAACTTGCTACGGGTCGTTGCACCTGTTGAGCAAAAGTCTCCCTAAATTCTGGGAACCAAATCATTAGTGCGAGCGCTTCTTCAAGAAGCTCCCCCCACGCCCTCAGGATCCCTCAGGCGGGGAGCTTCCTTGAAGCGTGAGCTGTCCTGTGTCCTAGCTAGGAGTGAACTTCTCCCTTACTTCATTACACTAAGTAGGCGCCTACTTAAGTGAGTGAGGCAGGGCCACGGGCTAAAGAAACAAAAGGATCTCATCGGGCTGAGAATTTCGGGACTTCGTGGGATCGCTCTTGGCACTCCCTCCTCGAGGCTCCCACCAATTTGCTTCCGCCTCGTCGACTCACAAAACATTCCAAAAGATCAACTCCTAAATGCTGGAGAGTCTCCAACAAAAGCTACTAAGGGCTCCTGGCCTTACTAGGAGCAAGGACGCTACTAGGGGCTCCTGGCCTTACTAGGAACAAGGACACTACTAGGAACTTTTTGTGTGAGATGTTCTGAGCAAATTCTGCAGATGTTACTCGGATACTTCGGTCCGTTCCATCGATTTTTGCCCTGAGCGCAGCCGAGCGCAATCCGACACGACCTAGACACTGGCCAAGAACCAGGTCAGAGAATGCCAAAAGTACAAGATGGTGTGTCCCTCTCTGAATTCTGGTTTGTCAGTGCTGCGTGGTACAAGTAATTGAGGCAAACTCACACCTGAACGCTGCCATCAGCACCAGCTCAAGTTCTTGACAACTGACTTGGTGATTTGCTTCTGAGTCGCTTTCAGGCAAGAGGAAGCAGACTGCAGCAGACTGTAGCAGACTTACACTTGAACTTGCCATTCATGTTGTGCTGGTGAGAAAGTGCAACAGGGCCATCAAATTCATCTCTGTCCAAAGCCTGTACAAGTTTCTGCACCCAACTGTCTGGGTGGTTCGATGCAATCAATTTATGTCAATGTCCACTCCAAGCAATATCAATCTTAGAAGACTTCCTTTCTCCAGGGTCTTGTAGCATGCAACAACAAAAGGGTATTCTATGGCATTTGACTAGTGGCAAAACTCATGATGACAAACAATGGCTTTATGATGTATATAAGTGGTGTTCCTTCCGAAACATTGAGCCAACAACCAGGAAAGGGCAGGAGAATTGAGCAACTCGACTGTGCGGTGCTCTTGACAAAAATCCTGTCTAAACATCGCCTGTGAACAAAAACCAGCTTCACCAATCAGTGCCAGCCTTTTGCTGATGATCTGGGAAGCACATCTCATCCATTTCATTTGGGTCAAGAATCCGATTGGGTGTTCCAGAGCTCGCTGCTCATGCCCATCTCTGCATGGCCGCCTGGCCGATCAGGGAGAGATCGAGGGCTGATGATGCAATGGCCTCCAACCTACTAGCGATGGCACGAACGGAGCAAACTTCACCCATCTATTCCAATCCAAGGCACGTCAAAAGAGTCAGAATCACTCTCCGAGTCGGCCTCAGGTCGGACGCACATGGTCACATGTGCTTCTTCCTGTCACACCGGTCTAATTAAACGTGTTTGGTGGAGCCTCACAGTGTCAGAACGGTGACTGTGCACGGCTCAGTGGGAGATAAAAGGCTGCGACATAGACGTTCCCAGCATAGTCCTGCGGAAGGGCTTGCTGGCTCAAAGACTCAAATGTCCGATAATCCAATTCTTGTGAAATGGAAGTGGCTGAAAAAGCTCCACCAATGACAGTAAACAAGCAAAGGAATCATGCACATCCCAAACTATCAGGAGGATGTCAAGTGCCTCCACCGTATGTGCCAGCACTAGCGTATCTCCATCACCGACACCAGCATGGTATAATGAAAGGTGGTGCCTCTGGCATCATGTCGATTGATTCAACGTTGACTTGTCAAGAGCGACTTCTCACCTATCTGACGGTCGCTCAATGAGATTTTGAGATCCCCGCGGCAGAGAACGTCCAGCGAAGCTCAAGAAGGCTGACCTTGAAGCACACCACATCCATATCTCATCTCGCTGAGTTTGCTACTGGGCGAAAGACTCGACACCGATGCCATCCAACAAGGCCACCTGCACTGATGATGCAAGATTGAGAGGGAGGAAGACTTGAAGCAAATGAAAAGGTGATCCTGACCGAGCACATCCGAGCACTAGCAGGAAACCAATGAACGACTCGACGGTGCCTCAGCCGCCATTTGCGCTTCAAGGATTGGCGTCAAGGCTCCCAGCCTTCAGACCAAGTTCTGAATTGAAATCCTAAGACTAGTCTAAAGAAAGGTCTATAGTCTAGTAGCTTGAATTAGCGATGGCCTCCAACCTAGTAGCTTGCATAGATATATAGCTTTTTGAACATGATAGAACCCAGGAACCCGAATGTTCCTCATATTCAAACAGAGTCAGAGTATTCTGAGATATTGAACGGGCGTTTTATCCCGTCGCCATTGTTTGGGATTGTTTTGGGCCAATGAAAGAGGCCCAAGCACCATCCTTTTTGATCCTTCTCTTGGACCTCAAAATCCTATTGGATGTGTGCCTTTTTCATGGCCTACGTCACCCTTCATTGGATGTCACGAGATGTCAGAGAGGAAGTTGCTTTGGGCCTATTTGCCACGGTCTGGAAAGGAAGGGCTCCGGAAATTCTGTAGATTCACATTTGATTGGATTTTGTCTGAGGCCGGCGTGCTTGCCTGAGTCTTACCCGCTTTCCGGCTGCACGGCCACCAGCATCCTCCAGTGGAGCCATTCTTCAGTGAACATTCCGAGTGTGGTTCGACTTGTTTGTTCATATCACTCTCTGGCCACTGTGTTTCAGAGCAAAGTGGTGTAGCAAAAGGTCCTCCGGACGGATGACGTGCAGGTCATATTCGGCATCTTGCAATCTAGCCTGCCACATCGAGCTCAGCTACATGAGTAAAATGTGATCACCAATGGTTAAGCCAGAAATTCACTCATCAGTTCTGTTTTGTCTGGTCAACATGGCCCCAAATCCATCCAAAGTCCCAAAATGATTCTTCTGGCCAGAAACTTCCCGCCTCCACCGCTTGTCCATGCCGAGGAGCAGCTGGGTCACTCTCTGCAGGCAGCAAGTATAGGACAACAGCCTCCAGCGCCAAACGAGCCGAGCACTTTGACAGCCAGCGCTGGTCTGGCACAAACGATGGCCTGTGAACCCAGCACATCGATGATGGGGATGGAGTCATCCAAGCATTCATCCTGCAATGGATGACTGTGTCACCAAGAATGGCCTGGTCACAGTGTCTCAGCCCCGACCTCCAGATCGGGTGTGCACTGGAGCCGTTGAAGCTCCATCGGCACGCCAAAGAGCTGCCATATCCGTCGTTTGACCTGAACCACACAATTACCTCTCTCCGACTCTCACAGCCCACGGTGAGTACTCTTTAACACCACCCTAATTAGAAGAGCTAGGCTCGACATCACAAGCCAAAGGAGTCGACAAACATCACGAGCTATCACCTGTTTTGGTCTCCTCACCTCGCCGGTTGAGAGAGCGATGTGCCGGTGGGACCGCAAACGACCATTCTCTTTGCGCACTCCGTGCGGCAAAACGAGAAGCTCAGCCTGTACAATTGCAGTCCACCGGACCATTCTTGAAGCCTGCTGGCTTTCAACACAAACCATCAATAATTTTCATACACAAACCTCACATAACTGTTGGGAGCTACAAGTAGAAAGTCAGCAGTGTGGGGAGCGATCCACACTTCCCGCGAGGCAAAATTCAATGCTGAGCTTACCAGGCTCACCTTGGTCCTTTCATCTCACCATGACAAGTCTTGAGCAGAAACGCGGCCACCAACCTTCTTCTTGTATTCCTGGCCAGCCGCCTTAAAGGAAGCTCGGATCTGCTTCTCAAAGGCTTCCTCCATCTCTTCACTCGGAGGCACCTGGACAAAAACCTTACCATCTTCGACCTTTGTCTTGAAGGTGGAAAGATTGAAGTTGGGGTTACCAATACCTCGGCCAGTTCTGAGGTCATATGTTGTCTTGTAGATAGGATCGGCCAAAGTCAGGGTTCCGTTGGGCTGCTCTCCCACCAAGCCTCTGGAGATCGACCGTGCTTGCTTGTGCGGGCAAAGATTCTGTGCGGCCAGCCATTGATCCTCCTCCGCTTGTTTGGGGAGGTGGAAGACGGCCAGTTCCTGCGTACCATGCTTGACACTCAGCCCACCATTTGGTGGGTATGCACTCGTAAGGCCGGCGAAAATCCACTCCCAGCTCTCTTTCGCATCCTCCTTGGTGTAGAGTGCTGCACCGGTGATGTCAGGCGGGCTGTAAAGGTTGGGATGACGCTGGCCACGCATATCGATATATTCAATCTGCTCCGAGTCATGGGTCTCATCCGTGTTCGCAAACTGCTTGAACTTCTTGCGAAGCTCCTCGTCATAAGCGACTTCCTTCCACTCGCACTTCTCGTTGCTGCGATTGTTCTCCATCATCTTTTCCAAATCATCAGCAATGCCCAAAGAGTCCTCAATCACCACCTTCTTGAGGTACTCAATGCCACCTTCCAGCTCAGCTAGCCAAGGGGCTGTGCGCTGCAGGTGCTTGGCTGTTGAGATGTAGAACATCAAAAATCGGTCTGTGTACTTCAACACTTGTTCCACAGAGCAGTCGGTGGCCAACAGCTTTGCATGCACGGGTTTAGCACCGCCGTTGCCACAAACATAAAGGTTGTAGCCGGCCTGGGTAGCGATAACTCCAACATCTTTGCCCTGGGCTTCAGCACACTCTCGCAAACACCCAGAAGCCGCCATCTTGATCTTGTGAGGAGCCCGCAAGCCTTTGTAGCGGTTCTCCATGGTAACAGCCATCGTCACAGAATCCTGCTGTCCATAGCGGCACCAGCTGGTTCCCACACAACTCTTCACCGTCCGCAACGCCTTGCCGTAGGCCTGTCCTATTCACATGGCGGCATCATCCCTTTAAATTAGGTCTCAGACTTCGCAAATGGTCTCAGTCACACTCGCAAGACACGAGAATTTAAATACGGTCAAAGTTTCCTCTCTGGATCTCTCTAGAGTCTAAGTGTATTCACTTCCGATTTGGGGCGTCCTCTATATATATATATATACACACATCTTTCCGATTGGGAGCACGACGAAAGGGGGGTCTCATTCAGGATCGCCTTTAGGCGTCCCTCAGTGTGTTTCACATGAAAAATGCCAATGGGCATATCAATCAAATGTTCTTTCGAAAAGCAAATGCGGAAGATATTGTATGATTCTCAATGTTGCTCATATTGCATTGCACAGGGTGCGAGCATCCAAGAACTGGCTCAATCGCAAAAACGTCTATGTTCACTCAAGCATCTCGACAAACCTATGTTTAGTAAAAGTCACAGCACAGACTAGAATCAGAAGACTAATAGCTCACACAGGCTAACTGCAGTACAAATTCAAACGAATAAATCTAGCTGTAGCTGGCTAGTACAGTACCATGTTTCGTTTTGGAAGCAGTCCTGTCTCCATGCCAGCATCCACCAACTCCTTAAAGATGTCAGGCAAATCATGGATCTTGGCACCATACATGCCCAAGCGTTGAGCACCCGTGATCTTGGTCCAGAGACCATATTTCTTCGCAGTCTGAGCAAAGGCGATGAGCGTGTCAGGTGTGATGTCACCTCCTGGGCATCGGGGAATCACCGAATAGGTGCCGGTCTTTTGGATGTTCGCCAGGAACCGGTCATTGGTGTCCTGGTGGCAAATCTTCCAATGCCACACAACAGGATGAGACATGGCTCATCTCAGTTCATGATACTTTAATATGTATTTGTTCTTCTGTTTCTTCTTTTCTGTATATGTAATTATTTGCTTTTGTAGTTATTTTTACAGTATGTGTTTCATGATACTGTATGGTATTGTTTGCCCACTTTATGCCAACTTTATGCCTTTTATGGATGGACCTTGGAATTTCAGGAGCCATTCTGGAAGTCCAAGACCTAAGGCCTTTAATAAAGCTAAGGTCAGCGGGCATGGCCCTGGTAGGCCTGCACGTGCGCAGTCCTGTCCTGAATCTGATCTCGACCTGCCTTCAGCGCATGATCGTTCCAAAGGCCCGACAAGATGGAAGCAACAATGGGTTTGCAGAGCTCACATCCATCTGTGGCACCCTGACCTACAGATGACAGGACCTCTGTGAAAGATTTCAGCTCCTTGATCTTGATGATATCAAACAGCTCCCGCCTAACAAGCATGGACCAAGAAGAACTGAATAACTCTCATACACAGAACTCACAGAACTTTTGTCAACAAGCGCTCATGTTGCGTGTCGTTCCAATTTATACGTAACAGCTAGATGTCTTCTAAGTGTTCCGAACCGTTTCCAGCTCCTGCCTGGAGTAGTTGAAATGCGGACAAATGCCAGAGGCAGTTGCTTTGCCCAGTTTCTTCAGTGTGTGGGCCAAAAGCTTTGGCACCTCTCCAACTGGTGTCACACAACCACCACAGCCAGTGCCAGCTTTGCAAGCTTTTTTGATCTGTGGAATTGTGTAGGCTTCTTTCTCGATGATGGCCTGGTGAGGATTCTGTTCTACCAACCTACAGTGCACAAAAATAACTGAATGACTCGAAACTAGAGTAACTAGAAGCTTTAGATGTCTTTCGGAGCAGGAACAATGAATATGTATATACACCTATATATACACATATAAAGACACAGGATGACAAAGGCATCAGCATAGCCAAGTAGCTTGGCGGACTTGGCTCTTTGTGAGGCCGATGCACGTACAAATCGTGTCATCGTCTGCGAGCCCAGTGCCATCGCCGCCGTCGATGGGTGCTCCGGTGGAAGCACCTGGTGGAGGGCGCTTGAAGGCCAAGCCAGCAGGTTCATTGCCTGCAAGGTCCTCTTTCTTGCTGAGCTGAAGTAGCTTGGAATAATCCTTGGCATCTCCGACCAGAACGCCACCCATGAGTTTCGAGCCATCTGCCGAGAAGCAAAGGCGCCGGTAGGTGTCATTGATCTCATCCTTAGAGTCAATGAACTTCACGCTTGGATCCTTTCCATCAAACTGCCGCTTGAACCAAAAGTCGGCACTCCGACCAAAGGAAGCCACCTCGACACCCAAGAGCTTTAACTTTGTGCTCAAGTCAGAGGCCACATATTCGGAGGAACCTGGCTGCTGCAGATTCTGCACCAAGGTCTCAGCTTGCTCCACCCCAGGCGCCCACAAGCCGTAGCACATCTGTCCACCGATTGCTGCAACCTCGCCGATGGCATAGATGTGCTCATCGGAGGACTGCAAGGACTCGTTCACTTTCACACCACCCCGGGTGCCCATCTCCAAGCCACACTGACGAGCAAGCTCATCGCGAGGGCGAACACCGCAAGAAACGATGATCAGGTCGGTGTCCAAGACAGTTGGAGTGTCTTCTCCCTTTTCCAGAAGCTCGATGCCAGTGACCTTATCATCCTCCAAGACCACTCGCTTGATTTGGACACCACAATGAACACGCACTCCCAAGTCATTGATCTTCTTGCCTAGAACTTGCCCAGCTGCTTCATTGAGCTGTGTTGGCATCAAGTATGGTGCCATCTCCAATACATGGCTTTCCATTTTCAGGTCATAGACAGCCTTGGCAGCCTCAAGTCCAAGTAACCCTCCACCAATCACCACTGCACGTGTTGCACCCGACTTCGACTTGGCCAGCAATGATTCCAGGTCCTCAATGGTACGGTAGACAAACACACCCTCAGGCCTGGAAGCTGGATCGTCCGGCCAATTCACATTCTTCTTTTCCGGGATGGTCATGCCAGGCACCGGAGGAACAAAGCAGAAAGAACCCGTGGCCAAGATGAGGACATCATAAGCAATCGATTCATTCCCAGAGTCAAAGGTGTAGGACACCTTTTTCGCTTCTCTGTCAATGGACATTGCTCGTCCATAGATGAGGTTCACATTGAGTTCCTTCAACTCCTGCTCAGTGACGTAGGACAACTTCATCTTGTCATGCTTCTCAGCATCTCGGTCCTCAAAATATTGCGTGAGCATCACTCGATTGTAGGCAGGTCGTGGTTCTTCACAAAGGACTGAAAGTTGGTAGTTAGCAGCAACTTCACTCGTGGTTATCTTCTCAATAAAAGAGTGGCCGATGGGTCCATGACCGATCACGAGGATCGCTTTAGTCATGGCTGTGCTGCTGTACGAGCGGCCGAAGAGTAAGAGTTTCTTGCAAAAGAAACGTGGAAGATCTTTGAAGTCAAAGGGCCACGGAAGAGAAATGGCATCAACGAGCTCAATGATGCGTCGCATTTGCTGGATATCCGCGTTCATCGTCTGAGGTCATGGACTCATGGCAACTAGTAACCAAATGTAACCCAGTGACTGTGTGTCAAGGGGCCTCCAGCGCTGTAGCACTTTCTGGAACTTCTACTTGCCATTGGTCCTCTGAACCCCATGCCCTTGTGCGAATGACGGTGAGTACCTCTCAGATTGCGCTCTGTTCGATCAAGGTAAGACTAACGTAAGAGGAACTGCTTCTGAAAAGATTCAATGCCCGAGCTGGCTTTCATGGCGCACTGTGGTGTGTGATGAGCTGCAGTAGTCTGCCCCAGATCCCTGAGAAACAAGAATAGAAAACCGAAACCAATGAAAACAGTTTGTCTCCATGCAAAGCACCAATTTCAGTCCATGCATCTGTCCATCTCAGTCTCAGGCCGAGCATGTAGAGATCTCCCCAAGGTCCAAGCCAGCTCCTGGCCGATCCTGCATGCTCCAAAACGAACCGCACGCACCGAAGCGCGACGCTCAAGCGGGACACAAAAAACGCGTGCGGCGCGACTCCTCTGCATCGCGCCTGCAGTTTAGTAAGTCAACGTTTGTTCAAAATGGATGATTGGGAGGGTGGACATGGACAGTGGACACATGTGTTAATGGAAAGTCCAAACGAAGGTTGAGCATACTCAACCTGTCGCACCTGCGTATGCGCTGTGCAGCTTTGGGGCCGAGACCACGGATCAATGCAGCCTTGCAGGACATCCTCTTCCATCTTCTTGCCAGAGAATCAACAAGTATTCTGCCAACGAACAAAAAATAGCTTGATGCAGCTTTTAGTCATACATCACTGCACACGCCTCATGTCTTTCCTCTGCTTTCTGCGCCAGGATCCGCCTGCGCTCATCTCGCCTTGGCTGTGGTGCCCATGATTGGTAACAAAACTGTCCGTCAGGATCAGCTATTGACTACGACTGGGGTGAGAGCTGTTCCATGGGCACCTCACAAAGAGACCAACATTTCGTGGTAACACGGGCATTACTAGTGACAAGAAGCTACTAGTCACAAGGGCATCGCTACTAATTAGTAGCAAGAAGCTACTAGTAGCAAAATAGTTCTGCGGAGACAGTTCGAGTTCATCCTAAACAGCCTAGCCTCACACAGTGTCGCATATGGGATGATTGAAAATCTATGCTATGGCATGCTATGGCCATGTCCCCAGCCTCAGCCGAACGTCCAAAGAGTTGAGGGAGCATTTTGCTCAAAGGCACAAATGGGCCAAAGGCTTTGGCCACCTCAGGGCCCTTTATTTGGATTGCAGTGGGCACCGGAAAAATCCTAGTTCTTGTGTTGATGACTGGTTATTTCGCATGTCGTTTGGAAGGGTCTTTGGCTTTTTTTTCGAAGTGCCCAACTTGACACATTGTGATCCGACTTTCTTGGACTGCTGGACCTGCTTCAGTTCGAGCCAAAAGAAGGGTCAAGGTCAGACTGAAAAAAGGAATCCGAGGTGAAGACCACTGTAGACTGGTAAGTTGCATCGATGATTGGTCAACGAGAAGTTCTACTCCTAATCAACTCCCCATCCAAGTCGTCACAAAAATCTAGCGTCAAAGCATGTCGTGATATCACACCAATGCCGACATCATTGCTTGCATGATATCGCCCAGCACCTGCACCTCGTTTTGGGCAGGCCTTGGTTGCATGAAGGCGATTGACCATTGGCAATGCTTCAAAACCGCTCCCAAAAGCTTCACTGGCGACATGTACAAATTGTAAGCCAACAATCTTTTTGTCAGGTAGTAGGCTCAGTAGGCAAACAAGGGAAAAAAAATCGTTCAAACGATAAGTGCAAGAATCAACCTTCTAGCTTGCATCACTGACCTTGCTTCTCGGTCACTACGCTATGCATCTGACAGTGGCAGTGGCACAGCCTCCACGGCTCCCAGACGTAGGCCTGTCCCTGCACGGGTTGGGGCCGTTTCAGGCCAGTTGACATCAGTTGACCTATGAGCACATGGCTTTCAGAAGAACACCCATCTTACTACATCTTACATCATCTTACCATCCTCAGACAGATGGGGCAATTTCAAGCAGAGCCAGGAGATCGTCTCCTCAGACACACCCGCGCTGATCGGGGCTTCAGCCGCCAGGCCTCTCTCTGCGTCTGACCTGCAACGAAGACTCAATCTGTGGAATCAACATGTCGAGCAATACAGAAACCAAGGACTGCCCGGTCAATGAAACGTCGTGAACCCTGCCTAGCTGGGGCCGAAACCGGATCCATTCCATCCTCAGCCACAGGTGGCTTCGACAAAATGAACATGCCAACAGCCTACCACCGCGCCAGTCTCACGATATGTTTCAAAATAGAAAAGTATCTGATGGCGTGAGGAAATGCCACCCACTCATTGCACGTTCTTCTGCTTTGAATCCAAGCTTCCACCGGGCTGTCTGGAGGTGTCCGCAAGGCCTCGTCGGGATTTGGGAAGATTGGGTGAAGGATTGCTGACATCAAATGTCACTGACGGTCGCATGCGACTGAATGTCAGTGGATGGGAAGGAAATAATATCCTTTGCATCTGTTCATGTTCCTGCCCTCTGTTGGCTAAAAGCACGCTGGCAATGATTGTGCAAAGGGAACTCAAATATGAGAAGCACCGCAAGACGCCACAAAATCAGATCAATGCATGCAAGCCAGTCTCTACAAAGGTTTGCAAGTAAGAATCTACCAGAATCCAAGCAGGAACAGGCCTCATGCTTCAAAAAGTCAAAGACACTGAAGTCAAATTGAAAGACCTGCAAAGGTATGAAACCACATGAAAGCACCAGCAAAATCGCTCTTGGAAAGGCCGACGATGTGTGGTCCAAAAGATCTGAAGCTTTAAGAATAAAAGCAAAAAAAATACAAGCTAATAGCGATGGCCTCCAACCTAATAGGAATGGCCTCCAACCTACTAGCGATGGCCTCCAACCAATACATGAGAAGCCGCATGTTCAGTTTTTCATAGTTTCTCACCTCTGCCCAGCCTTTGCATTCGGGTCACTGAAAATCTCTATGGGATGATTCTGCACTTCAGCAATGTCCTGCATGAAAGTCTTGCTGTTGAAAAGAATCAGAACAAAACAAAATCCAAAACTGATTCTGACAACCTTGGTCAGCTGCATTTGTGACGGCCACAACAAGGGTCTTTCCTATTTGGGTGCCTGTCATCCTCCAACTGGCTGAAAACAACACATGAACACAGGAGACATGAGGAGCCTCCTCCTTCGGAATTGGACCTAAGCGGGTCATAGGCACTCCAGAAGCTTTGAAGGCCGAAAGGGTTCACAAGGTTCACAAGGTGTGCAAAGATGCAAGAAGTTCATGAGGCCAGCACGCATGGGCTCGGCAGGTTGCGTCTCAACATCAAGTGGCACAAGTGCTGCATTGCCTCCACAGTACAAGGTACGAGGTCTAAATCAAGTGATGCATGCCGATGTAGGCCTGCCTGCGCCAAAACCAAAAGCCTGCGACAGGACACATTGGACATACTTGGACCTTGAAGTGCTTCACCTCACTGTTTCCAAAGAACATTCTAAGGTCTGCAGTCTGCACAGTGAAAAAGACACCCCCTAACTGTCTCAACTCTGCTTATCGGTCTTAGGCTTAGGATGGTCGGGTCCTCAGACTGGATCCCTTACGAGCGATGGCCTCCACCCTACGAGCGATGGCCTCCAACCTACTTGACCTTGGGCGTCTTTGCTTCCACTTCACCTTTAACCAGTAACGGCGCCTTGGAGGAGCTCGGCTCGGGCGTATCCGTCCATGGCACTTCAGGAGCGCTCGCCTGGGCAGGGTCCAACCGGGTCAAGCCGGGTCACCTGCGGCTCGGAGATCTTGGAGACGGGCACATTCGCATACTGAGGCTCCAGGCATACTGTGAAATCTCAAAGGTTTCGAGTGCCTGCAAAGGTGAGATGACCCAGTGATGATGATCTTTCACCGATCTTTCAAGGTGAAAAGATCTTAGTAGCTTCAAAGACCTAGTAGTCTACAGGTGAAACGATTCCCAGTGAAACGATTCCCAAGGAAGCTTCTAGCTACTAGTAGCTTCCTGTTACTAGGAACAAAAAAGTCATCCAAAATGGGAAGTCTGAAACTTCAGCTTTGCTTCTGGCTTGGGGCCGCAAGGCCGCGCTGGGCGCAAGGCCTTGGGGGCGAAGTCCTCACCTTGGAAGGCTCACTGGTTCTTTGAGTGAAAGATCCAGACACATGTGAGGGAGACTTTCAGTATTCACAGGCTAAAAGGATCTGGATGATATGTGCGATGCGTTTAGATATTCCTCGAAAGGAAGAAGTCTCCAAAGCATTCAAAGATTTCGCAAAAAAAAAATGGCTGCTGCATTCCCCTTTGCAATGGGTTTGAACAAGGAAGCCACCTGAGGCAAGAACTGGAGGCCTTCTCCACCGAACTGGGGGCCTTTTCCGCTGAAACATCTCCAAGACCAATCGCTCCTGGCCAAACGGCAGGAAAGTCAATTGAAGGAAATGTCACGGGGTGCAGGGTCCAGCAAAAAGAAACTGACATAGGAGCAAGGACGCTACTAGGAACAAAGGGCATCGCTGGGAACGGAGCGATCGTACGCTACTAACTAGGGGCGCTCTTGGCCTTTACTACTAGGAAGAAGAACGCTACTAGGACTCGTTTTTGAAAATAACATACCCACCTGAACTGAAGACTAGGTAGTAGACTACGTATAAACTATAAGAAATAACATACTCACCTGTTATGAACTTGCTGTCCTTGTGACAAGTTCACTTGCAAGCCGTTGTCGGTGATGGATCGAGACCTCGGTGGCCAGGAGCCCCGTTCGTAGCGACCTTGTTCCTATGATGTCTGAGATCGTCTGATATGATGATAGCGGCATGGCATGATTCTCCTCAAATTTCACCAAGTGCAGCAGCCTGCGGCGCGCTCTCCCTTTCTGCGTTGAGCAATTCTCAGGGCTCGCCAATGCGCCGAATCTTGTTGGCAGGGCCCTCAGAGCAGAACAAATCTTGATGTATAGGAAAATGTTTCAGAGTGGATGTCGGCACATTGCAAGTCGTTCACACGCTGGTTGTTTCCTCTTCTCGCGACCTGTTGTAGTCCATGTTCACATACACAAAGAAAAGCTCTCGAGCATGTCGACTAGTTCTTTCTATCTGAGCTTAGGGAGCATTCAATATTGCCTAGTGAAGAGATCCCGGTGTGCCATAAGAAGTTTTTGGGAGTCATCCAGGATTTTGCTACAACGTGCTCAATTACTTTGCAACATCTTGAGTAGTTTGCTTTGAAATCTTGATTGAAAGAAAAGCACCCCTACCATCATTCAATTGTCAATGCACCTCAGGAGCACCGCTTGGCAAAGCAGGTCCTTCCACAGGAAGCAAGGACTTCGCAAGCTCTCTGGCCATATTGTCTGAGTGCCTTGCAAAACCGATCTCGAGCTTGGTCTATGGAGTCTATATGAGTCTATATATATATACATATAAATGAGTCTATATGAGTCTATGGCTTGTCAAATGGAAGCGAACATCAACGGCAGAGGCGCTCTTCGAAGGCCGGGGTGGCAAAGCGCTGGGAGAAGGCTTGGAAGCCCTGAGGATCCGTAGACAATGGTTTGGCCCAGCGAAACAGGAGCCGCCTCCCACCTTGGGTTAAACAGATCTTAATGGCCGAACACCATTCACAAGTGGCTCTGACATACCTCAGCTGCCAACTATTTTGTGCACGACCCTGGAGCAAGGAGGCAGCACCCAAAGCAGCTTCGGCCTTGCAGCATGGTATCAGCATGCTATCATTCCTGCAAGCAGAGGATAGTTCCGACCCCGCCTCAATAAATCCGACCCTCGCAAAGCCTGGAGAGAAGAATCAAAAGAACATACTTGCATTGCCGCATTGCGCATCATCTGGACCCGAAAACATTAACCTAGATTTGTGAGAAAGGACATCGACCGAGACTTGCCTTTTGCATCTCAAATGCACTCATTCTTCAGAACAATAAGAATTTCTGCGTGCACCTCCCCGGATGCCCACATCTACGAAGTCCAATTCCCCAAAGACACCTCACCAAACAGGTTGATGATGGTTGATGAGAATCGGCCAATCTCAGAGATTTGCAAGTGACATCTACTACAGGAGCGAAGCGCGTTGGGTGAGGAGGACTCCCTCACCCAACCTGCTGCGTTTGTTATCTGCCGCCCTTGCCAAGGCACCTCCGTCCCTTCTCCTGCCCTTCCGGAAGGGCCCCCCAGCTGAATTATGTGGTTCATCCAAGACACCTAGCAATCTCCGCAACCAATCCTCACGTGTGCCAACCTCCAGGTTGCTGATGAAAAGCCTCACAGGAGGAAAAAGAGGCTGCAGGCTGCAGCAGCTCTGAAAGCTTGTGTATTCAATTCTTAGGGAAGGGAGTAAATTAACATTATGTTCATTAACCATCGCAATGAAAACCTGCGTGTTCCTTTTCCAGGGTAGCTTACTTGTTACAGTGTGTTGCCAAGACTAGCAACGCTCTGTCACCGGTGGTGGAGTCAGCTGGAAGGCATTGGCGAACTGTGACAGCGCGCCCAGCCAATTGAAACCTCAGTGTCAATTTTTACATTGATAAGCTACGCAGTATTGTAACTCTTGTTTCAAGTATGTTCGCTACATTCATAATGTGGTATAGGGAACCTCTAGGTTGACATGTTGTCAGCTTGCTCCACTTCTCCGCCCAGAGACCCATGGGCTTTTGCCACGAGTGGCTCGGCGGCCTCCTCATCCGAGAGTCTTAGAAAGCCAAAGCCGCGACTCCTCGCGCCATTGGACACGACGCTCCGCCACAATGCTGCAACATCGAATGGAGCTCGGCCAAAATTCGCCCGCGTTGCGGGGGGGGAGTGATGTTCTTGTTTGACAGACCCACATTTGAGCTTTCTGGTGAACCCTTTGCACCCAGGCAAACACAAAACAAAACACACTTGGGTTGTAACAAGGATTTGCTGTCACTGTGCCAGCTCCTCACGGTGCCTTGTGCACGGGCAGCATATGGGAGAAGTTGTGTGGGACGCGGCTGTGTGTTTCATACAGTGCTGCCAAGTTTGGATTCCTTTCTCTGCTTCATCCTTGCATGATCTTCAGGATTCTGCAAGTCCAAACGGATGCCCAACTGCCGAAGGTTCTGCGGCTCCTTCCACTTTGGTCCACTGGAACCTCAGTGCTCAGTGCTCAGACGTGCCGTGCAGGAAGTGCCGAATAAGGACAGAGCTCTGGCACCCACCACATTCTCTGACAAAGACCTGGAGGTTTTCAAGTGTTTTCTTTTTTTTCTGCACCAGTTCGATTCATGCATTTCAGAATATGTCAAGAGTGAAAAACCATGGGACTGGAAAATCTCCAAGAAACTCATGGGTCTCAAGGATTAGCTAAACTAAAAGCTCTCAAGTTTGATGCCTAGGATACTGGCAACACGGTCAGATTGGAAGAACTCTTGCAAGGAGCAAGCATTCAACAAACTGGCCTGAAGGTTGTGTACAACTCCGCATCTGAGACATGAGGTGCAAGGTTGCCCACACACACTTGATAGCTGGCCAGCGGTTTTCGGCCTGCACTTGCGCAGCTTTGGATGAGACTCAGCAGTTCTGACCTGGTGTGCTTCATGGTCTTCATGTCCTTGAAGTACCTTTTAGCCTTTAGCCATCTTTTGCTGTTGGTCATAGCATCACTTCAAAACTCCCAGACCATCCTGACGACACCTTCTGGCAAGGTGCCAAGCGGAGCACGGCCTGCGGCAAGGTTTCACCCTCAGTGGCTCCAACCAGTTTTCACCTCCATCCATCATGTTGTCCTTTCGTTGTTCCCTTTTTCAGATGTCAAGCGAGTCATGTGTCAAAGTGGAAGGCAAAGACCTCCGGATGTATCAGGTTGGGAGGCCAAATCGCCCTTAGCTTGGAGGCCAGCGCTCTGAGCTTGGAGGCCTTCGCTGTTACGTATTGTTTGTCGTTTGAGTTCGGTTTTTTCTCGTTGGTCTTGCCATCCTTGGCTTCCTCGTCCCACCTTGTGGTCCGGAATTCGCTGCCCGTTGCGGCGCATGGCTTGCTCTGCAGCTTCTGGGGAGGTAAAACCAAGGATCGCATATCCACCTGAAGAAACAAAGGCGCCAAACTCCCAGGTGTTCGAAGCAACAAAAAGAAACCAAATGCAACAAAGCTTGCCATGGCAGTCATGGGCACGTGGACTAATGCTCAAGCTTGCAAGAGCGCACCCTATCTGTTTCCCTGTGAAACTTCCCAAAGGGCCAGGAATCTTGTTCAAGTGAATGCTTAGAGGACTATTGGAATGCATCAGCTAGAGCCCCATTGTGTCCAAGCATCAGTTCTCTCCTGCAGATCTGCGTGGAAGCTGGAGTGAGCAAAGCTCTCTCCCAAACAGGGAGCGCAGCTCGGCCTCAGATCCGATCTGACAGTCCCAAATAGTGTCAACATGTGAATTTCTTGTTGCAAGCACAAAGGAGCAGAGACCATCACATGTCAAAACCAGGTGGGATCCGGCCTCATCGACCGTGGGCGGCAGATGAGTGGCTTTGAGAGATGTCACTTCCTGAGTTCCAGTTGTGTCCAGCATCAAGTGCTGTGTTCATGAGTGGCAAGTGGTGACAAGACACCATGGCGCCGCCTCGTCCACCTGGGCACAAAGATTCTCTACTTCAAGTTGCTCCAATGGAGCTGACGACTTAAGCTCCCAACCCTTTCAGCAGACGACTCTCTCCATAGCGCGCTACGGATCGGACCATTTGATATGCCCAGTGTGGCTGGATGAGATGGGTGTCAAAGGTTGCAGTCATTCTGACGGCTGATGGGTTGAGGGGCATGAGAAAGACGTTTAACCAAGAATAACAAAAAATCAGCTTCGCACCCAAAAATGCAGGGTTTGCTCTCGCCACAATAGATATGTGTCTCCAATATCAAGATATGTTGCGACGAGATGTTTGAACAGTCGTCCATGTTGCTTATGCTTGCAGTTCGATCCTTTTCAAATCAGGTAAGGCCAGGATTGCAATGTTCATCGCTCAACCAAGCCTTTCACCCATCGACACGCACTGGGCGCTGCAACTTGCGTGGCTTACGCCGCTTGTCTGTCGTTGAGGTCGACTTGAGAGCCTTAGAATCGTCATGGCCACGGTGATTCGGCTGTCCGATCGCTCCGTTCGTAGCCATGCCCGAAATGCTCTGTTCGTAGCGTCCTTGTTACTAGTAGTAAGGCCAGGGAGCCCCTAGCGCCCTTGCTCCTAAAAGCAAAAATCTCCATTCGGCCTCAGCCACTTGATTGGCAGCCTTGAGCTCGCTCATGGCATAGTCTCTTTGGGCCTTCTGGTAGCAAACTCAGCGCCCTCCATCGGCAAGCGCGATTGTTGGTTCCTGCCTGAAACTCACTGGCTTCATCTGCCGTTTGCCGCAGCTGACTTTGCAACCTCAGCCGAAGACCATCAAATGCGATGACTCATGTGAGACAAAAGAGTGCCCGTGAGCCGTGTAAGCTTCAAACCGCGCAAGCTCTTGATTCTTGGTTTCCAGTTCCCGGCGAAGTTGCAACATCCCCTAAGAACAACAGGTTGATTTAGGATGATTTCGGCAACTTGGTCAAGGACAAGCAGATTTGCTCAGAGGTTGAAGCAAGGTCAGCTAGGCAGGGATGTATCTCCCGAGCCTCTTGGGACTCATCACAAGCAAGGTTCGAAGCCGCCAGCTCATCTCTCAACCCTCGCGACCTCAAACTGTTCCAATGAGTCTTCACAATATTCTGAGGAAAAGACAAAAGGACTGCACTTCTTTATGATTCAGATCATGCCACGGCATAAAAACTGCTTCAAATCTCACGATTCCTCCACTTGTGGAGACTTAGCCATTCGCTCCACCTCAAGCATGGAGCAACGCCCATCTAGCCTGACGGGTCAGATATGTCGTTTCTCTTCGCAGATTCGATGAATCTCAGTGCCACGACAGGACGCCCATAAGGATAGTGGACAAAAGTCTTCCTCAATTTTTTGGGGAAACCGAAGTAAACCTTTTGTCACCAGTTCGTTTTTTAGTGGGAAACCAATGCCCCAAAAATAGGTTGAAGGTTATCCACTGACGAAGTGTGGCCCACGAACGTAAGAAATGAGGCGCCTGGAGGACCGAGAAGCTTCCGCGGATGCACTCGCCTGTCATATCGACTTGGGCTGAACTTGGCATATCAATCTGGTCCTAGGAAGGATCCTTCTCAGAGTCATGGAATCCTTGCTTTAAAAATCTTTAAAAGGCCTTGACATGGTCTTCCTTCTCCAGCCCTTTAGGTTGTTCGCACCTGCAGGCCCTCAAGTTGCTCACGCAAAGTTTGGCCCTCATCCAACACCTGCCGCGATCGGCTGCCTACGATGCTCGAACTCCGCACTCCCTGAACTGCGTAGAATGCTGTCGCAGCGGTTCACTGGACCAAACGGTCCAATGTCCGATCTGTTCCCTTTGGCAGGGAGCTCCCAAAGAATCTCCCGACGTTGTTTAAAACCCGCTAAAACCTACAACCCCAGACCCCCGATGCAGACAAGAAACGGAAATCCTTCGCTACGCATTCGGACAAAAGTACTGCCAATCAGTGCAGACTTAGAAGGTAGCAATAAGATCAATAAGTGGTTAGGCCCGCACCAAGCACCTTCGCAAGCTTCTCCTCAGCATGTGTACAGCGGCTTTGCGCATCCTTGAGCTCCTAGGGGCAAGGGATCGCTGACACGGACAATACGGCCAACGACACAAGCGCCAAAAGCGCAAGGCATGACCTGGAGGATACTCTGACGCTCTCGGTTGGAAGCAACATCTTGCCCCTCCAACCTGCACCACAAGTCATTCCCGATGCCAGTGTCAGATTTGCATGAAGAAAACATTGAAAAACAGAAACCAGCATCAATCTGTGACATCTGAGAGAATTGTTGCTTCACATCCAAGGCGCCTTTCGATTTCAGCCTGTTGCTTCTTGAGAGTGCTTCGCAACTGGCTCAATCCTTCGTCCTGCCGCGTCGGAAAGCCATCTCATTTCTACATCCATCGAAAGGCCCCGCCTCTTCCAGCCGCTTAGACCCCTGCGCTCCGCAACCCATAGCACATGAGCAACCCAGGCCCGAGAACCAAAGGAATTTCGGCGTTCGCAGTCTCGCAGTAAGGGGTACTTCAGGCGCTCAGCTGAGCCCACTTAGAAGGATCGTCTTCGGTGTTGAGACTGTCAAAGCTACTGTGTCTTCTCCATGTAAAAGCTATAACTGGAACGCAAGATCTTGAGGAAAAGCAGAAGCTGCCTCTAATACTGGGCTACATAGATTCTAAATGCAAAAGTTGCCTCAGAGCAGTTGAGACATGCAACGGTAGTTCGCCAGTGCTATCGTGGCGGAAAATCAGTGCAAATCTGTCCGGACCAACGGCGACATTCACTCCAGACTTACGAGCATCCAGCCTATGTATCAAATGTCAAGTTAAAATCCGTCAAATACCTACACTCTGATCTACTCAGGCTAGTCACTAGTCTGATGAACGTTTGAAGATTCGGCCCTTTTTGCCTTCGTAAATGCGGCTCTTCTCCAGGTTCCTAGTAGAAATCATCGATCCGTCGCTGGCAGGGCCCGCCTGCCTCAGTGATCAGTCGCATTTGAAGGAAGAACAAACGCGTAGTTGTCCACTTCGGAGAGCCTTTGAAGGAAGGGCGAACATCCGCGGGTTTTGTGGGCTTTGCTTTGTAGCAAGGCTTCTTTGGGAGTGTGTCGCTTTGCGCATCAGGCGTGACGGCACAACAGCAGCAACGTCTCATTGACTGCTACGGTTACGGGTAGCGAAGGTTTCCAACGGGCGGCGAGCAGAAGGACAACATCTAACGTGTCCATCTGACGATGGGTCAAACCTGGAGCCCCAAAACCAAGGTCAACCAAGGTGTCCTGGTTTTGACCCACAGCCATAGAAAAGCATACTAGAAGCTACTACTAACAAGTGCATCGCTACTAGAACAAGGGCATCACTACTAGTAGCTAGAAGCTAATAAAATCTAAAGCAGAACCGAATCTCTGTGTGTTGGGACTTCGAGATGTCCAGGCAATCCCACACCGCATTGTGCCTCATTCCGAGTAGAGCAAGAGGCCGGCAATGAGGATCACCACCTCGGTACGGGGAGCGGATCGCCATGGCGTGCCTTCTGTGACGTTTACAGAAGTGGCTCAAGGCTGGTGACCAAGAATCAAAAGAAAGCAAGTCTTTTTGCTGTGAAAGATCTTTCAATAAGATTTAAATTAACATCAAAAAAATTAAAGTGCTATATACAAAAGCTCTATAAACTGTCCAAGACTACGTCATTTGTGATGCATCCACTACCCCTACCTCCTAGCCGCCCTAGCCCGGTTTGTCAGGTCGACGGTCTCCAAGGATCAAACAATGGCCAAGAACTCCAAAAAGCCCATACCAATCAGCGTATACGTGAACAAGTCTTCCTGGATCGATTATGAGTCATATCTATAATATATGTACATGACTCAAATGACTGACTTCAGAGTACTCAGATCTCAGATTGTGCATTTTCTTTTTGATGGGGATAGCTCTCCGAAATGCTTTAGGGCAACGATAGAGCAATGTACTAAGTTACTAGAGTACCAAGTCTTTAAACATAAATTCTTTCGAGGACGAAGATGTCGCGTAGCCATTCCCAGAGATGCATTTTCACAAGGACCAACAGTCGGTGACTCGAAGGTGTTAGTCAGAAAAAACATTGCGGTTTGGTTCTGGTCCGAAAAAGGGTTCACCCAAAAACATACAGGTTTGGACAACGGTCAACGAAACATAACAAACCAATGAAACGGTCTGAAAAGATGTTTGTTCATGCCAGTTGGCTTTCTAAAGCACGATCTTGTAGCATGAACTACACACGAACGCTATCAACCGCTCTAAACCTTCCGAAGCCTTGAACAAAAATCTGACAGAAGCGCCATGCCTTCATCGAAGGGTTACGAGCCATGCCAACCACCAACGCTGCGAATAGCTGGCCAATGCCCTGACGTCGGTCTTCAACACGTCTGACACATGCGTAGGTCTTGTCGTGTATGCTTCAGGCAAATGACCCAAGGAAAGACATCGTGCGGAACATTGAATCGATTTTTGTTGACAAGGAAGCTTTCATGGGTAAGACAACATGCATTACTGTAGACATGAATGGGTAGGGCCATCGGTTGCAGGTGCGGATAGGAAGACGACCATAGACAGCACACCCCTGCCGCTCCTGAGCACAGCCCCCCACGGCAACCATAGCAATGGCACAGCCCAAGACGGACACACCTGCAATCACAAGCACGATCCATGAAAAGTCACAGCTGCGTACCAATGAACATCAAAGAATTCTAGGATTCTGAATAGAAAACATAAGCAAACTGATTGAAGGCAAATTCAACTGCCACTGCGCATTTGCATTTGGCGACAAGGACGGAAGGTCCCATTTCAGCACCTGCATGGCGCTTGCTCATGGGCTCTCCTAGGCCCTGCGTAACAGGCTCGAGATGTTTTTGCATCGGCACCTTAAAGGACGGGCGTCACACCAATTGAGATCATACCTCCCACCTCATATCAGCAAATTGCCTTCCGAAGATGGTCCAACGATTGTGTTGCGGAATTGTCTGGAAGCTCAAACATGGCAACCTACAAAGCTGCCAAGCGACGATCGGGACTGGGACCGCAGATGGAAGGTTCGGCACAGCGCGCACGGCCTCAGTGTTGGCGAAAACATATGAAAACCGTCCGTCGAAGTGGTGGGACGACCAACAAGTTGTTGTGGATCAAAGCTGGATGTTTTTCAAATGAAAAGAGACCTTCCAGAAGCCCTTTATTGAGCAAAGCATGGGCAGTTGAGAGTAAGAAAGAATCACATCTCCACATAAACCTGGCAAACATCTCAGAATTCTATTGGAAACTCGCCAACAGACCTCGACAGACCCAAAGAACCGAACCTGAAGAAACAAGCTGAACAGGTCGCCCAGAAATCACCGGATTCGGATCGGCCCAGGCACTGCAGGGATGGCGCTGCGGACACGCAGTGCTTGGCGGAGGATCGACATGGTCGTCCGTAGGGCGATCGAGGGAGTCTCAAAACCGAAACGGGGGGGGGCGAATCGGAGCCTCAGAGTGCTGAAAGGAGATGGAAGACATATAGAAAGCAGGAAGACAGAAAGGCATAGAAATCATGGAAACTCTATGGAAGCCTCCAAGAATTTTGACCCGGTAGCCTGCTTCTCGTCAATTCTTCATGTCACTTCACAGCAAGCGTTCCTTAAGCGAGCCTTTTCTCAAGGGCTGACTGGCCAGCTTCACGCTGATGTCACAATCCTTTGGAGACACACTTCGCGTGCCAGAACGTGGCTGGAGCCGTGGCATTTTCTCTGGCCAGAATTGCGGTTGCGGATTCGCAGATTCCAAGGATTTCCCTCCAAGCCTTCAATGGTAATTCAGGATAGCTCCAAACCAACATCGACTTTTTCCAACCCACTGCATCCTTTGCAGGATGTGCCCAATTCCAACATTTGGTGCCGACAGCCACGCTTCATGGGGGGGCCCTTGATACAGCCCAAAGTCGCCGATTTTACAGCGACCATACGAAGGGAATGGAATAACTCCAGACATGCAGGATTGCTTGATTGGTCACCATTGGTTGCAGTGGATCGGGTCCCTCCAACGGTCAAGACGAAAAAGTTCCTGAAGGCGAAACAGAACTTGGATCCACAAGCCTGGAGTCTGCCCTTCACTATCTGAAGACAGGCAAAAACAATGTCTATCTTGCATTCTTCCGAATACAGGACCCTTGTTGCTGGCGTCGAATCACCAGTCCAGTCCAGTCAAAAGCTGTCGCTTGGCGGACTACACAATGCACTAAAGATCCACCAAAGCGTGTAGATGATGAGCTCATGTGGAGCCGCATCATACCGGAGGGAAAAGGTCTTGCAAGCTGGTTCACTTACACTAATGACATGCTTGCAACAAGACTGTATAAAATAGGACTCCTACATCGAATGTCAAGCCGCTTACGTCCCATTTCTATAGATTTCTTTACCAGCAGCTCGTGTCTTCCAGACTTGGAGGGACGTGGCAAAGAACTTCCATTGCCCCCCATATTCTATGCTTTTGGTGTGTGTGCTTTGTTCATCAACAAAATCCAGCAAAAAGCCCAGCAAATCTGTGTGAAATCAGATGAAATCCGAACTGCCAACCTCGGCAAACGGATACTCCATTGAGAGCACCAGTACTCAAAAGACTTGCCTCCGGCACCACACGCTGGAGAAACTTCAAAAGGCACAGGGATCTGATCTCCTTTGGCCATCTTTGCAGAGGACTTGGGTCTTCCTTTCACCAAGATATGTGGCACGCCAGGCACCAAAGAACTTGATTGAGGGAAAAACCCTAGAGGCGCATGTTTGGAACATTACACATATGTTGCGGGAAATTGAGACCAATCCACAATGTGCGCCTATGTGTGTCCTCTACGTTTGATATCTTAGAAAAGCAATCAATCTGAGGTCAAGGCCAGCTTGGGATTTGCTTTCGTCAGAACATTGTACCCACATCGAAGCAAGGGGAGTACTGTAGTTGCTGTAGTACGCCAGGTTCAAAAGAACTTCAATATCTGACAGTCACAGGGAGAGGTTGAAAAGTCGAATGTGGTGACTCAAAGGACTCGCACGGAGACCATCGAGGTGTCCAAATTTGGGCTGAACTTCCATCGTGCCACATCTTCTGCCAAGATCACGATCCAATGCCCTTTGAACAATCGCCTCAGAAATCTAAATCCACGACACCTCAAATTCTCAAATGCCGTGAATTGGTCACCAGATATGGAGAATCTCTCAAGTCAAAGAGTCGGTGGACTTCGTGTCGAGAACGGTAGCGAGTTCAGGACGTCACAGGCCACTAAACGGTGAAACTCCTCCTCTCATTCGCCTGCAAGGTTGGCTTTTGACCCCTTGAATGGTGAAGAAAAAGTGACAAGAGTCGAGGCAAAGTTCAAGTTCCTACCAGCCCTCAAAAGCCAAAAAATAGAGATGAAAAGTTGTCACCTCGCCAATTGCCAGACCATCATGAAACGTTTAACCTTTAGCAAACCTGTTGAAGAAGTGAAAGATAGACAAACATGGCCCAATGGCCCAAAGCCTATTGGTGGCAGGATCCAAACACACACCTGCCGAGCCCAAGAGCCCAAGGCAAGCACACAAGCCACACAAGCAACACCCAGCCTACTTTTTTTGGACCTCAGGATTCGCGTCCCATCACAGGCCGATTCAAATGTCTTGAGACCAAGTCAACTAGGAGAGTCTAAACCTCAAGAGACTGAGAGTTCGGAACCCGTTGCCGTTCGAAGTGAAAGCGCAAGGCCTTCAAATGTGATTTCTTTGTGTTACTTGGATAGCGCAAGAATCCACCTTCAATCCTTCACTAAACGTATTGTTTGCTGGCTGGTGCGACGAAGTGACTGTGACTACAGTACCATCATGAGATCGCACAACGATGCACAACGTCACCATTGGTTCCGTTCAGCAGGCCGGGTCGCGAACGCTGTTTCCGATGAGGTCAAACACCTGACAAGTCATGGCAGCAACGTCTCGGTCACCGCAGCATCTCCGTACCCCCTTGTAGCTACTAGGGGCTCCTGGCATCGCTACTAGGAGCAAGAAGCTACTAGTAGAAAGCTATAGCCATAGCAGCAGTTTTGCAGTTTTGCATGTGACAGATGGCACGCCAGTTGTTAATCTTCCATCCTCCTCAAGGAGCATAAAAGGAGCTATACAATACGCAGCGCAGTAAGGAACGTGCCTGATGAGGAGGAGGACCCACGTTCTTCACCAACCAATAAACATTGGCCACCTTGGCACTGCAAACGTGTCAATGCAAAAGATTCGACCATGTAAAAGGAATTCGACATCCAAAAGTCATGAGCTCATGAGCTCTTCGTACGCTGCACGCTATGTCATTTTTCGAGTTGACAGTTGATTTGGTTTACAGTATCTCAGCTGCTGATGATTTCGGTGCCACGCCGGTTGGTGGGAGAGACGGTCAACCATTTCTGCGGCAGTGCGGGGGAGCCGGGTTTCAGTGTCTTGGCTCAACAATGGCGAGCCTATTCTGTTTGGTGGAAGAAGATGTCAGGGCCAAAGCCACCGAAGAGAGCAAATATGTGAGACTTCGTGATAATCATGATACCGATACGTCTCAAGAGATGCTTTTTCGCACGGGACATCAGGCTTGCTAAGTCCAAAATACATATATAGTGTAAACATATGTAAACATTGTTTGTTGGGCGAATTTGGGCAACACATCCTGGATGCATTCCGATTCAAACCCAACAAACCCAACACCTGGGTCCCACGGTCTTTCTTCCGTCCTTGCGCGCCCATATTGCCACAATACTGGCTGTTGATCTCAGCATCGCATGTGTCAGAGCGAAAAGCGATCGCATGTGTCACCCATGTCAATGTGTTCCAAAAAAGAACATGTGCTGAATTGCTCTGTTGGAACAAGTGCATCGCTACTAGTAACAAGTGCCTTACTAGTAGTAACCGATCATTTCGTCCTCAAGAGTCACCACTTCGTCCGTTGGCCAAAAGGAGGCGTGGCCAAAATGAGTGCCGGAAGACTCGGCCTCTCCGTTGAAGAACCCGGACCCTGGGCCCTTGCCGTTCTTTTTCCACATGTCGTTCACTCTTCAACGGGACACGGTGGAAGGCAAAACTCCCTGAGGTGGAAGGCTACGTAAATCTTCTTCTAACCGATGTGTTGTGATTTCGATTCCTCCACGGCTTGGTGTCCCGACCACATTTTGCATGCCGCTGTCTGAGATACACGTACGGCAAAGGTCGCCGCTCAGCACGAAGCATTGATGGCCTGACAGAGATTCCGGGAACAGAAAAGACATGCCTGGCACATTCCTAGTCTTGCTTGCTTGAACTTCTGAGCTGGCAAATCGCATATCTGTTCTGGTTTCAATTTTGACCCAAAATGCCTGCATTCTCGCAGAAGTGGTCATACACGTAGTAGTCCAACTGCACCTGACAACAGGCCCTCCATTCTGTGCTTTTCTCGGAATGGAAAAGGCTGTGGGATGACAGGCCAGTCATCCAACCGATCCACCTCACCTCCTCATGACTGGAGAGTGAGTATGCCAGATGTGAGTCGTGAGTAATGTCACTGGCATATCTCAAGTCCCACATTGTCCCACAGAGTCCAAGACAAACATGACGGTGGCTCCAAAATGGTGTGGCTCAGACATGACTCTGTATCAAACACGCACGGTCACGGTGGCTCAGACATGACTCTTTGGAAAGCTTCAACTTCAAGAAGCCCTTCGTACAAAAATCAAGGCCTGCCCGAGGCTTGTTACATGTTTCCTGGGTCCCAAGGCATTCTCAAGCAAGCTTGTAGCAAGCCAGACCTCAGGACACATATTTGCTTATAATTCCATCGTTCGCCCTCTCGTGTTCTCTCGTGGTCAGGCTCCTTTATTACATCCATGGTCAAGGAACTCCAGCACTGTTCCGCAGTCGAAAAATAGAGAACAAAGGAGTTTGGCATCTGGGTCTTAAAATTATCTGCTGACTGAGTGAGTGCAGTCTGCATCAGTCCTTAAGATTCCGGCAGTCAGGAAGTACTGCTGGGCATCCTTGGGCCAAGAGATTCAAAAAGCTACTTCATGGGCATTGCTCGGAAAGAACCCCAACAACACTGCTTCCTCTCTCTCTCTCTCACTTGATTTCCGCCGAGGGTGGCAGGATGATCCTCTCCCTTGATTCTTGTCCATCCTTTTCATTCCTTGTCTTGTTCTCGGCGTGCTGGTGCTCCTAAAACCCGTCGTATCTTCTTTAAAGGTTTCATGGTGGTCCCATGCGGTCCCGGTTTTACAAGAGATAGAGCTTGCACAGGATGAACCAATCGTGCAGAAAAGACTGATGAGACTTTTCCTCTGATTGCAAGGAGCTTCCACACTGAAGACATGAAGCCTTATGGTTTTTTGGTGCACTTGATGCTCCGCATGATAAATGTTGGTGATGTACTAGCCCCGCAACTCATAACCCGCACTCCAATACATGGCAAAGCATCAAAGGGCTAGACAATGTGTTGAAAACAAACAAAAACAGCGTCAGCCGCAGAAGAAAATCAACCTTTTTTGCACGCATCACCAAGGGTCAATCTAAGATAGGCTCTTTCAAGCTGTGCGAACCCCACGAAAGAAGAGGATTCATTCATCACACCAACTTCAAAGAAGAAAAACCCAACCGAGACCGCCAGAGACACCGCAAAAGACCCACCACCCGAAGACATCGCAAGCCGAAGACGTCACCAACGGCGGCGACCGGACACACCCCAAGACAGCCGGAGGACCCAAGCAACCCAGCACAAATGGAGCCGGGTCGACCAGCGGAGAAACCCGCTCAAACCAAAGCACCCGTTCAAAAGAGTAAGAACCCCTCAGGTAAACCTGTTTGAGGTCGAAAGATATTGCATTTGGACAGGAGGCAAGCATTGACACCAGCTACTCCCATTCATCCCAAAACCGTTGATCACTTTGGCCAACCGTTCCAACCGTTCACCGTCACATCCTGTCACCGTCCATCAAAGCGCTGAGTTCCAAACCCCTTGCCACAATCCAGCGCCCCAAGGGCCTTGCCACAGATCCGTCAAACAGGCACAGATCCGGATCCCGCAGATCAGGGCACGAGCAGTAACAAGGGCATCGCTTAGTAGGAGCAAGGACGCTACTAGGGGCGCTCCTGGCCATACTACTAGTAACAAGAACCTACTAGTAACAAGTGCATCGCCACTAGTAACAAGTGCCTTACTAGTAGTAACAAGGACGCTAGTAGTAA